TGGTGAGAAAGGAACGTACACTAACTGGCAGTCATCAACTTCTGCCTCTAAATAGGACCAAAGGACGACCTGGGAAAACCATTATGGTATCAGTCGGATCTCACCTGCTTCCAATCTATCGCGTCGCATCATGCTGCGTCGACTCAAAAATCTTAGTGAGAAACGAATCAGTGTAAGGCAGGCCTACATTCAAATAGGGTGTGTGTGTGTGTATCGTACTACCGCTCTTAGTGGTTTACATAGCCACGCCGCGACCATCGTTACTGCATAGATCGGAGATCTGGTCGATGCGTACGGAGGCATTAACAGATGAGTCATAGTTGCCCGGGATGGCGAAGTACCGCTCGCATCTGGTCAGAAGATCCGTGTTCTGCCAGTTGAATTTGAATTGGCTTCGTTGGTTCGGCCATGCGCTTCGCGTGCCTGTAACCAACCTCAGAGTGGATTTTTTGCCAACACAACTGAGTAATCAATGAGATGGTGAATTGAATGAAGAGGCTTATCGAAACGCTGCGTTGCGATGATTTCCGCCAACTTCCTGGATGTAATCCTTGAGATCGGTCACATCACCGGTTGAACGCCTTACTAGATGTAGCGAGTTCACGAAATTCATGATCGGCTTGCATTCCTGACTTTCGTATTCCATCTGACGAGTCTAACTTTCATCCAACACCCATGACGTATTAGTATTGTTATGTTATCAGTAACGTGAGTCGAGGTAACTGAATCCGCTGCATCTCGATACAGCGAGCATGGATGATAACTTAAACTGTGCTGAACAATGTCTACCTTAATTGTTCGGACAAGGAAGAAGGTGGTCGTGTTGGGAGCGAATCGCACCGAGAGATCCATAACTTGTAGCAGTGGTTTACACATCCGCTGAGCGCGGGAGACCAAAAACGGAGCATATGAGGTAACTCCAACAGACATGTCAAACGCAGTCATAAGAGGGTTTTGGTGGGCTTGTCAGTTAAGAAGGTAAGTGTTTCATTAATTATGGGATGACAAAATAGAGAAGATGGGGTCAAAGACAGTGATAAACTGCCGAAAGACCATGAGAGCCAGTGCGGGGAAATCGGCCACATTAATTGTAGAACAGCTGTCGTCCGTTCGCCAATTAGCACCGTTTGAATCGTCGACCTGGCAGGTAGGCAATTCAAGTGCAATACGTCGAAAACACGACATTACCCACTGGGAAGGGTAGTTTCACCGACCACTTGATTTGTCTGGTTTGAAAATGCTCACGAACTAGAGTAACTAGCTGGATTGCGATTGCGCACGGTCGTACTCTTTTCTACCGGGTGTCTTGTTAATCTGGTCCGGACCTAGGAACGGCTGCACTCAGGTGCTGACGTACAACAGGTACGCTGAATTGCTAACTGTCCAATGGCGCAACTTACTTTGCCGGCAGGGGTGAGATGGGATATATATGACACATGTGTGCCAACGATCGCAGAGCACCCCGAGCCGTTCGGCTGTGAGAACTGAACGTTAGCCGGACACCACCTAGTTGCACTGAACGTGTCAGGCTTCCATCGATCGGTAGTCGGCCTTCATGCAGGTGAAAAGCCAACAAAAGCGTTTCCTGCGAAGTGGTTAGTGGGACGCAGTGTTAGCAACTGAGAAAAACAGCCTGGCCGTATGTGATGACCGGTCGATGGACACCGTATTGCTATCGCCACAAAAGCTGTTATCGCCTCATGACTGGCTCCCAACAAACCCATAAGCTTTAATTAGACTGCTTCCAATGCTAAAGGGAATCATACCGCTATTAACACATTGTAAGGTTACAGTGTTGATCGCTCTACCGTTTCGACCGCGCATGTGTTACAGCTGAAAATTCACCTTTCATGGGTGCAAAAAATGAATGCTTGACTTGACTGGACGTAACAATGCTCTCAGATTTCAGTCTGTTACGAGGAACTAGTGGCACCATTAGACAGCATACCAATTAAGGCATGAATACAACTATTGCCCTCACAATCAGACAATTGCTAGTGGTACACATTGATCAGGCCCTAGATGGTGTTTCCCGTGTACACTTGGGGAATATACATTTATTCATTTCTTTATTTATGTTAACATGAAATGTGTGAAATGTCGGTAAATATCAACGAATTAGATTTCGAAGTGCCCTCCATCGTTTTGGCTACAGAGGAGCATTTGCTGGATGATATTAGCGGGCAATTTCTGCAAAGCCTTCAACAAAATCTACCTACATTTGTTCACAATGTCCTCTTTCAGTTTATCCAGGTTTTTAAGTTGCGTTCTATTAACTCTGCGCTTCAAGTATCCCCATAGGAAAGGCCATGGGATTCAGATCCGCTGATCGCACAGGCCATTCTGTCGGGCCTTCGCGACCGATCCAACGTCCACCGTAAGTCTCGTTCAGGTAGGCACAAACCGAGTGAGCTGAACGTGCAGGTACGGCATAGTGCTGCCATCAAAAGTTATTCATTAACCCTTACGACTGTAGCTGCGGAAGTACGCTGCTCTGTAACATTTCCATGTATGAGCATGCTAAGAAGTCAGACACTGATACTGTTAAACGACAACCTACTGGACACACTGCTGGAAAAGAAAAAGGGCCCAATGATTTTTGACCAGTCAACCCAGACCAGGCCGTGAGCTTCGCGCTATGTTGCATACGTGGAGCGCTACATTGCTGTGGGTTCGTCGTTACCCAAACATGTTTCGTATCTTCGCCATGAAGAGGGAACGCCGCCTCATCGGTGAACAAAATGGTATGCAAGTCCAGACTGTTTATAAACAAACGGGTGAATTCCAGGCGCTTCTGTGAATCGCATGCGTCCAACACTTACACCTCCAGTACACTGTACCGCCGGAACATTTTCCCCTTCAATATCCGATGCACAGCATACGGTGTGGTTTCGCCATGTTGTGCGAGTTGCCGAAAGTCGAGATGGCTGTTACTGCGTACCTCTTGCGCAACCGAGCAAGCTGCTACTTCATCCATGACGGTGCGAGGCCGTCCGCTTTCTTTGATGTTGCAAACATCTAATTCGTTGATATTTACCGACATTTCACACATTTCATGTTAACATAAATAAAGAAATGAATAAATGTATATTCCCCAAGTGTACACGGGAAACACCATCTAGGGCCTGATCAATGTGTACCACTAGCAATTGTCTGAGTGTGAGGGCAATAGTTGTATTCATGCCTTAATTGGTATGCTGCCTAATGGTGTCATCATTGCGTCGTGGCAGACTTCACTGTAAGAACGTTGTCAAGCATTTCTTTTTTATGAACCCATGAAGGGTGAATTTTCAGCTGTAACACACACGCGATCGAAAAGGTAGAGCGATCAACACTGTAACCTTACAATGTGTTAATAGCGGTATGATTCCCTTTGGCATTGAAAGCAGTCTAATTAAAGCTTACGGGTCTGTTAAAAGCCAGTCATGAGGCGATAACAGCTTTTGTGGCGATAGCAATACGGTGTCCATCGACCGGTCATCACATACGGCCAGGCTGTTTTTCTCAGTTGCTAACACTGCGTCCCACTAACCACTTTTGTTCGCTTTTCACCTGCATGAAGGCCGACTACCGATCGATGGAAGCCTGACACGTTCAGTGCGACTACGTGGTGTCCGGCTGACGTCCAGTTCTCACAGCTGAACGGCGCAGTGTGCTCTGCGATCGTAGGCACACATGTGGAGTACATATCCCATCTCACCCCTGCCGGCAAAGTAAGTTGCGCCATTGGACAGTTAGCAATTCAGCGTACCTGTTGTACGTCAGCACCTGAGTGCAGCCGTTCCTAGGTCCGGACCAGATTAACAAAACACCCGGTATTTCATACCGACTGATCGTAAGTAATGGCCATGTTCAATACTCACAGTTGGAAAAAAGGTTGCGGATAAAACATGTATACAGGCTGCGTTCGGAGTTTGAGGGGCGAAATCAATTGCGTGGCAAGATCGGAAGAAACATCACAGCTTGACAGGTAAGGCGTCGCACCACGCGAGGAAACCCTGATGGCCAAAGGCAAAGTGCAAGGGGTAAGCCGCTCGCAGCAGAGTTGAGCCAAAATCTGTCCAACCTAAGTGAAATACTCCCCATCCCTCACGCTGTCCAAATTAATTATATGTAGAAACACCAACTAGTGGCGCCACCATGAATAATGAGAAGTGATACGGTCCGCGCGGCTATCGATTCTGATGTCGATGTTGAGAGCAACATTTGGCTGCTTCTGGAAGCATAATGACTCCTAAAGGTAAAAGTCATTTTCAGTAATGACAACTGCAATCAAAAGTGCCCGGTGTGTAATGCAATATGTTCTAACCGTATGTGAAGTTGTTACGGGTGTCACGCACATGGAACAGAGAGGAGGTCACTAGTGTCCGCATGGCGCCCATTAGCACAATATCCAACACAAAGTAGCAGAAAACGATGGATTCGAAACTGTAGGAAAACACTATTGACACACCATGAAGGCATAGATTCGAAAAATTGCGAGGCGCTGTGAGCCTCCATCCAAGTACCGAACAACGGCGCATACTTAAAGACTTACTGACTCTTCCACAAGGCAGAATGCTGACGTCTCGGGTTCAGGGATGAAAATGAACGATTAGTGAGGTGGAGACCATAGATGTGTTAGTACCGCCTGATACCAAACTCCCTATACTCGAATAAATACAACGATGCACAACACAGTTGCAGTCAGAATGCTCCGATGTGCGGCAGGTAGCTGCGGGAGAGTTTGGGGTCAGTTGAACAACATAATCTGATCCGGTCTTTGGTTTCTCAAAACATGAACTGCTCTTGTGACATGCGTAGGGGACTAATAAGCAACAGCTCATACAAAGCGGATAGACGTATCCACAACAACAGCGGTTTGTAGAATCAGCGGGCATGGTTCGCCCTTTAGAAACATACAGACAAAGGATATACCTAGCAATGTGTCTTCGAGGGTGAATAACAGACTAACCATCCAAAAGATGGGATCGAAACATTGAGCGAAAACACGCGCCTATTCAGAAATAAGAATTTGCACTGGAGAAAGCTTCGAATAACAATGCACTCCCCGGATGACACACAGGCAGAAACCATTGCAACTTACGAATATCGGTGTCCATTTGCTCATCACCAATGGATTTATTCTGTGTAGATTGTTGACGGTCCTCACCATAGGATGTCTCCAAAGATACTATGTCAGACGTGGATGGTCGGATTGAAACGCTTTGGGTGCTCGCCGAGGGAGTGGACTCCGTGACATTCAGAATGCCTCCAGCGAGTTCATCTGAATTCAGTGCTCCAAAGGATGCGTTTAGTAACGGATTTCTAGGGCTGGGAGTATTTTCTCGTGCACCAAGTGCGAAGGAAGATTCGTCCCGCGCTATTAGTATATAAGGATCAAGAGAAAGTTGGGTAGGAAGCAGATGGATTGAAGCATTACAGCGATTGTAAGCCAAGCGATGAACAACCGTGTTAGATGAGCATGAGGTGCAAGCGCACAAACGAGATAGATTAGAGTCAGCACCTTTGTCAGAATCAGTGAGGACGATCTGAGAGTGAGCTTGGTGAGGGTTTCACTCAAGAAGGATTGGGGTTTAAACAGTGTTTAAACAGTGCACTTAAGCAGGGCCATGTGGTGTGCAACGGAGGAGTGGTGCAACAGACGAAAGTAAACCACTAAGAGGGGAAGTGGTACAAGGATTCGCCCAAACAGATTTTCGTATTCGTGCGAAATCGATCTGTTTACGTGAGTTGACATGAGTTCAAAGGTGTGGTGCACTCTTGTTGGCAGCTAATGAGTTGACGATCCAGTTAAGGAAGTCCTTGCTCTGGGAGTTAGCCATGTGCTCTGCAAATTTATAACATGTGTGACAGTGGAGGATGAGCCGCGCTACATCGCAGTTAGATATCAGTCATGGTGGTCCGCTGCCGTCACCCATGGCTCAGTGACATAAGTCACTGGCTCGTAAGAGTAAGGTCGTGGGTTCTAATCCGGCAGGATTCGGTGGGCGCGCGCTACCGACGAGTTCCAATCGGACGAAACGGCCATCTAGCGCTTTCCTGGATATGTGGTTACTGTCTACCTGATTATAGTTACGACGAATCTTCACAAAATCCAGTAGTATTATCAACACAAACGGTAGGTAAAACAGCCATCAAAATTGACCCATAATAACTGCACGTGAAAGTATGGTTTTTAGGGTACCGGCAGTAAGGTGCACACAAGACTGTGGAAAGTAACATTGCCCCAATTAAGGTCATCATATGAGCGGCGAGCCAAGAGAATAGGCCGTACCTGATAATGCCTCAAGTTCACATTCTAGTGACCAGGGCATTCCAAGAATCTTGTCAGAGCAAAGCTTTATCAGGTAGTCACCACATGGCCAGAAAACGACCAGCGGATAGTTTGTGCCACCGTGAAGCTTCAGAGGTTAGCATCCTCCTCCGGACACCGTGGGATTGGGATATAAGATCTAGCACGAAGCCAAGGACCACAGGTGACAGTGTTGCGCAACGCGACTCAGTCACCAGATTTGGGGTAGAGCAATTCACACGCACACACCATGTCAACTATCGCTATGCAGAGGATAGGGCTGCCATTATTACTATATGCTCTTGCAAACTAGCTAAGACAAATGAGTGATTTAATAAGTTATAAGGGTAGGTAAAGTTTTGAAGAAATTACTAAGGGATTCAAAGTTATCACGCGCCGATCACAAATACTATCAAGGGAAATCGAACGATTTAGCTAAAATTCACCAGTCTTGCATAGTAGTCTTTGTATTTCATGCGCAAACGGCTGTGACAGGTGACAAACTGTTGTGGTTGCAGTTGACGGGGCGTAGAGCCGTCAGACTTCACCATACCGGACAGTGTATTGATCAAGTCACATGAAACAGGCAAGACAACCGACAATATAGGGTGATGTGGTGCCTCGCAAAATCGGTGGCTTTGTACGCATGTACAGAGCAATGAGTGAGTGAAGTTCAAGGTCAGAGGTGTGGGACGACGCCGTACTTTTAAGGCACCGGATCGCCCGACGTAACATCCCCTTTGAAAACTGTTCTCCAGACTCGTAGGAACAAAGTGCTGGGTTCGTTTGCAAACGTCGGATCGGTTGAGTTGTCCGATTGGCGCTGTACGCGTTTCGGTCGGCTCATTGAGCTCATTGGTAGTTCAACTCTCCAGCAGTACACAGAACGGCAACTCGAAGTAGAAGAGATTGTGTGTTCGATTCGTCATTTGTGTAAGTGATTAACATGCCGAACGAAAGACACCGATAGACCCCTCGTACAGCACAGTACCTATCCTTTTTCGTACCACTGCAGGTTGCTAGGTTTAAAGGTTCGACCTTGGATCCAACGCGTACACCGACCCCCCTAGCAAAAAAGGTTATGCTCACAATTGTCGTGAGTGGCCGCCGCGTAATATTGGGGCGTCAATTGGAAGACGTCTCTCACGCCTGAACATGGCTTCCGCTGGGGACCTGCCGCCTGGTGCAGCGGGGTTAGGCGTAGCCCGATAATTTAATAGGGATAGCTGTCTAATCTCTTCTGTCGGTCCTTCCTCCCTCAGATTTTAATGCAACCCCTAGTAGGTATCCACAAATCTTTCTGCTTGCTCATTGGACTGGGGATGCCCCGGAGGCAACCGGCAGTGCTTGATTCCATTACGCCGACAGTAAACACCAAATTCATCGAAGTTGTGATTTGTTATCGGACACCAAGACGTTTCGTGAACCGAACTGTGTAAAAATTGTTGTAGTTTTCGTATTGTGGCCGCTGTTGTGGTCGCATTCATCGGGTCCCGCCACTGGTGTACGCCTCAACCACAATTAAAAACAATTGCCTTGTAATGACCAGAAAAATCAACGCGAATTCTCTCCCAATCCATCCAAGGCTGGATGATTGTGCTTGTCAGTTTCGCTGCTGAAGCACAAATACTACATGTGGCCACACAATTCTGGATAGCGTTGTCAATAAAAGCTCAGTATACGTAACTATCTTTCATCCGTGATATTCCGGTGTGATGTAGGTGCAAGTATCTTAATACCCTTGCCTGCAGGAACTTCGAAACAACCGCGTGTTCACCGAACATAACACAATCATCAACCAGTGATAACGATTCACGTCGACGAAAAAATCGTTGAAGATGTGTGTCAGTTATCCGGTTTGGCCACTTTGTGTTAAAAAACGAGTAAGGTTTTGCAAAATAGAGTCGAGTTTGGTGTGCTCGTGAATGTCTACAGAAGTAATCGGAAGAGCTCTGATTGAATTACACACAAGCTGTTTCACGTCTGATTCAAGCGCAACTGACGCGATCACCTGGTCTTCTTCTATACTCGGCCGTTTTGCGAGAAGTCGAGACAATACATCGGCGTACCTGAAACCTGCCGTAAGCACGAGACCACTTAGTCTCACAACAACCGTAACACATTACATCTTGCTTGATCAGGTCAATTCGATGCCCAGGCACTTCAATCTGCCTTACCTTGTCCCTATGTGGTTACTGCCTTACATTACTCGGCCGACAAAGCTGTAGAACTGAAAATTCATAGGCAGCTACATTGCTACATTAATCCTATCTTGCTCTACTCTTTCGCATATGAGCCAAATTGCACCCAGTATAGATAGCTTGCCTTCTATTACTCTAGAATATTATGTACGACTATGTACGCTCGTCTGATTTTGTTGCTTTATCCTCTTTCACGTTCCTACTCTTTCATGAGCTTGCCACCTCCATGGTATCCCCGATCTGTACCGGAAAAAAACTGAAGTTGCTTGTGTTCTGATAGGAAACGATAATGAAAACCCCAAAAAATCTTCCCAAACGTTACGGTTGCATCCCAGTATAACCCCCAAACATTGACAATCATGCATGCGTGAGCACATCGCACATGTCGATAGGATCCGTTCCTTTGTGGGGACGACTTGTTGATAAAAAAGAAATATACACCATTATATTATATTATTAAAGTTATATCCGAGCAACAGTGTCGCCCAACGTTGGGGCTGATTTGCAGTGTACACAGGTATCCCCTACTGTGAATCGAAAATACCTACTATAATGGCTTAGGGTTAGTCTCTAATAGGAACCCTATACCTTGCAATATCCGATGAAACATTTTGACTGACGAAGTTAAAGCTGGTGCCTTTTTCGATCTGAAGTACTTTCTTTCAGACTTCTTTAAAACACGTGATGTGTAGGCAACCGATCTCATGGCGCTAGGATCGAACCGCCGAGGGAGAACCGCTCTAACACCATAAGTGTAGGCATCTACGGAAACAAGTATATCTGCTTTTGCTTACAATGTGCCAGCATTGTCATATACAAGAGCTTTCGTAATGAGCCTAAAGTCTTCATAACATTGGGATGACAAAAAGCAGGGATGACTTTTACCCAACAACCCATTCATTAGCCCACGAATAAATCACTGTAATAACTTACCGAACGATTGCAGAGAAGATATATCGTGTGGTGCAGGTAATTCCACTATGACGCACATTTTTTCAATATCAGGTCATCACCCGTCATGATCGACAATAAAACCAAGTTATTTCAGTTTTGGCATGACGGTCTGAAACTGTCCGCAGTGGCCCAGTTCCAGCTGCTGACTGGCGGTGCAAGCGGCTGGTGGTCATGGGTTCGAATCCTGATGGATGCGCACTACTGATGATGCCCAACAGGCTGAAACTGCAGTCTAGTGCTTTTCCGGGAATGCCGACTATCTGATTTTGAAGTTGGCTGCAAATGACCTCAATTAATTATATCAAAATCCCCTACTCATGAGTACCTCAAAAGATAGCTGCCCTAACAGTCTCTAAATGCTACGTCGTACATAGCTATTGTAAGTGGACATCGCGTCTTTCGAAGTCAACCCTGTCCTCTGCAACGTTCGTAACTTGCATGACAGTGGTAGATAAGACGCGCTATATCGCAGTTAGATTGTAAATCATGACGGTCTGAAGCTGTCCCCAGATGCAAGCCGCTGGTGATCATGGGTTCGGATCCTAGTGGATGCACACTACTGATGATGCCCAACAGGCTGAAACTGCAGTCTAGTGCTTTTCCGGGCATGTGCACGGCTCTCTGATTGGGAAGCTGGTTGCGAAGAACCACTATTAATTATAACAAAATCCCATGCTCATGAATACAGCAAATAACATTTATCAGCTGTCAGAGTCAAACCATATTCCCGTTCGAATGGCTGCAAGAGGTGCCAGCTATGCTGTGTTCTATCTGATAATGCGACAATAATATCATCCAAGTATGCACAAGCCGATGGCATGTGTGCCAGTATGGTGTCCACCAGTGGTTGAGAGTCCCGGAGCAACGTTCAATCCGAATGGTAGCCGATTGTATTGATACTGACCACGGTGC